GTATTTGTTAAACCGAAACAGGAAGACGTAACTTCGCGTGCTTTCAAACTGACGCACGCCTGTAATTATATTTGCGAAGCACTGTAGCGTGTCTACACCAGGACACACAGTTAAGTTTGTAAATTGATTACTGACCACAACGCTGATAAATATTACCAAATGTATATGTTTAAAGGCCTATACTTACGTGAAATGTGTTGTAGTCATTTATATCGGTTTACTTTATTGAGTAGTATAAATACCACTAGAGGGGGTTTGAATCTGCACACGTTAGACGACTCGTTTCTAAGCAGTGATTCGAATTATTTCTTGTTTGTTTTAGAATTTTCGTGCAAGGTCACATAAAGAGTACCTGCGCCTATCCGTCCCTAATTTCGAGCTAATATGATTAGAGGGAGGATAGCTAGTCAACATTATCCACCACCAACTCTTGGGCTGCTCTTGCTGACTGAATAGTGGGATTTTACAAGCATACTTATAGTGCACCTGCGACCCCAAAGTGCGAAGAACATTTTAGTTTGTAATAAGGAGAGGTGAACTTGGACGTCTGAATAAGCTAACAACTAGGCCACACCCCCCCTTTTAATATTTTCTGATTCAAGTTTATAAAATATTCTGCTGACTGCTAAATTAACTTTGTTAGTTTTAATAAAATAACTGATGAGGTAATGTAAAAAAAAACACAAAAAACACGAGTATTTTTGTGAGAATTATAACGATGTAGTGTGCTTCTAGATATCTTAGAAGATATCCAAAAATAACAAATAACAGCAAAATAACGATTAGTTTTGAAAAATTAAACCGATTGGTAACAATAAAATAAAAGTCCATCATGTTAAATTTAGTGAAACGGTTTACTGATAAGAAAAGTAACCTAAGCTGCCTGAAGTAAGATCGTTTGGTAATAAAAAAATAATTATTTTCGAAAGTAAAGGTGTGTGGTGTTACATACATTAGAACTTGTATACAGTGACGTTGTTCAGTTGTAACTAAATAAAGGCAGTAACCATACTTGCCGCTAGTCTCAAGCTTCGAATCCACTGCGGCAGATTTGACGTAAAAGGATAGGCCTAGAAACATATATGTTTGACTACAATTTGAGCGATTTCCGTAAACACAAATACCTTTGAGTTAGTTATCAATTAAAGGGTTTTTACTAACTTGATATAATTTAGAACCACTCAACAGTTTTTATTTCAAAACACTATCTTTACTTTGTAACACACGGTGACTTCATATAATTATTTTTTTCGTAGGAACTATATAACAGTTTTAATTTTGGCCCGGCATGGCCATGTGGTTAGAGCGCTCGACTCGCAATCTGCGGCATGGCCAGGTGGATAAGGCGCTCGACTCACAATCTGAGGGTCGCGGGTTCGAATCCGCATACCACCAAACATGCTCGCCCTTTCAGCCGTGGGGGCGTTATAATG